AGATCCTGTGACTGATACTTTTCAATCTTCTCTTGCTTGGCCTAGAAGCAATTGTCTCCAAGGTGTTTCTCATAGCTTGCTGCCTTTCTTGTCTTTTATGACATCACCAGTCTTAGGAATAAAGGGAGCCTTGCATAACCTTTAAAGTGAATTGCATTTAATTTAAAATAGATTTACAAATTTTGTTATCTAAAAGACAATTTAGGCCCAATTTTGTTATAAATATTGGTGCGCAACCATCGACGACGGAATACATTATCTTTATCTAATCTTGTGTTAAAAAATAATGCATTAATCAGCAATAACCAAAAGGTATTTCAAGTTAAAAATTGTTTTTCATTTACATCTCTTGGGAGTTCCACAATTCAAATGCTTTTCGTGCAATGAAACGTGGTATCGGAGAATTGATGGATCACTACGTTACACATAAAAAGCAACAATTATAACAGTATTTTTCATTCTGCTTTGTTCTCACAAATCTTGTATGGAAATCTATTGCCATTCCATTATCGAACGCTTTAAAGAGCTTTTGCGCTCTATCGGCCAACTTTAGGCGACATTTGTCAGGTTTTCAGGTTTTAAATGATTTCAACACGTTGTGGTGTGACTCAGTAGCCAAATTGCACTGCATTTTGGTTTATAAATTGCCAGTTTTAAACTGTGTTGCCTGCTTTTAGGCGTACGCTCTAGCTTGCCATTTATGCAGAATGCAGAAATTGGTCGAGTTGCATGCATAATTAGCAACAAAATTTCGTATTTGCAGTCAAGCAAAGCTCCGAATTTCATTGCCTACCTTGTGGCGACACACACACACACACAAGCACACACGCACATGCATAAATATGCCAACATAGATAGATATACATATGTATATGTCTATATCTGCTGTACGAACACGTGAACATGCTTTGTGTTGGTCCGTTAACGCAAATTAAATAAAATGCAATTTGCTCAATTATTTGTCATGTTTGCCTACAAATTTAAGTTCACAGACACACACACACACACACACACACGCACACAAATTGTTAAGTTATGGTTTTCAAATCCACATACAGCGCCGCTCAACTGAATAGAAATTTGTAATTTAATGCATTGAGAATGAACATCGTCGAGGCAACGTTTTGTAAATTATTTTGATTCCCTCAAAAAAATGACCGCATATTGTCATTTACAAACAAACCTGTCAAATTTATTCCACAAATCAATGCTATAGAAAAAGACAATTTCCTATTCAATTTAATTTCCATAGGTTAGTTGAAAAGTTCACAAATATGTGTGCTATATATTTGCCTGTCTGATCGTCTTCGAACCTCCGACTTTCGTTCTTGATTACTGAAAACATCTTTGGAAAATGATCTCCCTGACCCTAAAATTTGGCCTGTAGTGGTAATTTACTTAATCTTTCGATTTCTTTCTAAGAATCTTTTAATCTTTTTCAATTCTGTTTGAATGTACGAGCATGTTTTCTCGAGAGAGTGCCTAGAAAATTATGATCTAAATTTAGATAATTTTCTTTTGGCAAAATGTTGAACCTATTCAGTTAAGCTACACTGTATTTCAGAACATTCATTTGTGTATAGCTTGTGTGTGTTGGTTTATTTTTTGCAATAATTTGGCTCATAAAGCGGCTCAGTTTAAATTGCACAACCAACTTTTATGGCCTTCACAAGCTGCCACTATCAGCTTCTGCACATAGTGCTTTACTTTTCAGTGATAAATCGATATAAAGTCCATATAACATTTCAAAAATCAATTGTGACAATTGCCTGGCATTTTCTCAAAACAAATCAGTTCAAACATTTTTAGAACTATTTACAATTAAATGATAACTGAAAGAAGGTTATCTGCCCAAATTGAACTATTACCAAATTTTGTTTAAAAGAAAGGCAGAAAAGGCACAAAGTTGTTTAAATATGTAACCTTTTTCTTTTCTAAAATATCACATTTGTATTGGTATTCGGGATTCTTCACTTTTTAAATCGATAAAATATTGAAATATAGTCAGATAATATTATTATTGTATTTATTGTAAAGTAGGAATGTTTTTCATATACAATTACAATTTCTGCTTCTTTATAATCGATGTATCTTTGAATTATAAAATGTTTATGAACCAAAAATAGAAGACTACTTTAGACTCAATCGATTTACTGAATTATTTGCAGCTATTTATATATTTTTTAGACTGTTTCTGAATCACATTTTAAAAGTGAAATACTATTTTATTATTTTGTTGAAATTAAATTGCAAAACGGTATTTTTAAAAAAATTGTATTTTTTTTAGTTTAAAATAAAATAGTGGAAGAGTGGAAACTGATTTATTTTATATTTTATTTTTTGACTATTTTTAAAGCGCATTTTGAAAAGAAATGATTATTCTATTGTTTTGTTTGAAAAGCAACTAAAAGTTGATTAAACATTGAAATAGAGTTTTTTTTAGATTGCAATTAAAAAGTAGGAGCTGATGTATTTTCTAAATTACTTGCAGTTGCTTATAAATTTCAGAGACTATTTCTGAAGCGCATTTTAATAAGAATTGATTATTCTGATCCTTTTTTAGAAAAGCAACTAAAAGTCTTTAAAACGTTGAACTGGAATTAAAAAATATTGCAAACTTCAAAGATGTTCTATAAATGTCAAATGGTATTCTTCAAAAATTGGTGCCATTTTAGATTCAAATTCAAATAGTAGTGTAGGAGTAGAAACTGGAGAGCCCCACAAATAGTAGTGCAGGTAATTGAAACTGCACCAAAGCCGTTTATAATCCTATATAGACTGTTTATTGCTGCGCCGAGTTGTTGTTTGAATGCGAAATGTGCGCAGTATTTTAAATTGCATTGTTATTAAGAGAGCGCAATTGTAGTTTTGATTTGACAAAATTAAAATTGTATTGTCGCTGCACTTTAATTGGCAGTGACAGCCAATCAGAGAAGGCGGAAAAGCCAGTACACAAAGCCATGGCAACAGTGATGCGTGTTTGGCATCCCAGAAATGTCTTAACAAAGTCAACTTGAGTTATTAATTAAATTAACAGACAGCCAGAGTGAAAGCCACAGCTCCTAAGCCATTGTAAGCAACAAAAGCTGCTTACGCAAAAACTTTGACCCAGAAACCCATCCCGAAGCCAGCCCGCTATCCCCAAGCCATCCATCCATCCCATCCTATCCATCCCATCCCCCACTCCAATCCGCAAGGATTGGTCAGCACGCAAAGCCGTGTGTAAATCTAAAGGCGCTTTTGAAATGAAAATGAATTTCGTTAAATTAGCAATTAAAATGCACGAAGGAGAGAATTCATTAAATGATTATGCGTTGGACGCAAATTTTTATGAACATTTTTTCGCTCAGCCATATTTTTTGATATATATATTTTTTTTACAATTTAATTTCGTTCAAAGGCGCAGCCCCGCACCCCCCCCCCCCCTTCCCAGGAAACGTAAAATGATAATTAAAGAGAATTTACATTTCTAAAAGACTTAAACAAAAAAAAACAGCAACAACAACAGGAGCAACGGTCAAAGAAAACGGCGCAAAGCAGCAAAAACCGCTCGGATTTGAAAGTTTCTTTATACTTGTTATAGCTGTTGTTGTTGTTTTTGTTGTTGTTGTTGTTGTTGTTGCTGCTGCTGTTCTTGCCACGATACTTGTGGTTGCGCACAATCTTGTTAAAAACTTGGACACAATTTTGTTTTTGTTTTTGCGTGTTCTTTTGCTTTTTGTCTCAGTTTTTGTATTTAATTTTTTGCGCTCCTTCTGTGGAATAAAAAAATATATATTTAAACAAACACTAATTAAATCTGCAACATCGCCTCTAAACTCACTCGCTCTTTGCCTGTTTGCTTACTTTTTGCAGAACTGTGACGATGAATGCTCGGCACAAAACTGACTGGCAAATTAAATGAACCAAAGCGGAGTGCGTGAAGCCATACAGAGAAGTTGGAAAGCGGGAAAACCGGGAAAAGCAGGAAACGCGGCAAAAGCGGCAGCAGATGCGGCGATATAGCAGCGCTCAGGCACCAAAACATTTAAAGAATTTTAATCGAAAACTGCCAAGAAACCAATATATATATTATATACATACATGCATACACAATAAAATATAAAAATATATATATATATATAGAGAGAGAAAGAGAGAGAGAATATATATATATATATGTATAGAAAATAAAACTATATACACGTAAATAGAAATGCGCTCATATATATGTCTGTCTAACTAATTCCAATGTTATAACATAATTGTCGCAAGCAAGTTTTTATCACACTACGAGCATATTCGAAACGCAAACTCAAATAGAGGATCGATGGAAATAATTCTAGGTATATGTATATATACATATTTTTAAAAGGAATCAACTCAACTCAATGGGCAATGATGACGCATTTGTAGCGAGAAACTATGTGGAAACTAATAGTATTTGCAATAAATATGTAAATAGAAGCTGCCAGCTGCATCACAACAACACCAACAACAACGCCAAAAACAACGACGACAACCACAGCAACAGCAACAGCAACAACAATAATAATTATTTTACTGAAGAAAGCAACGACTTCAAAGCAACAATAACAGCCCAAGCAACTGAAATGAATGTAACGCACAATAACAATAATAATAATAACAACAACAACAACAACAGCATCAGCAACAAACAAAGAGGTAGCAAGAGCAGCAAACAGCAACGCCTTAAATGTTGCAGTAAGCAACAACACCAACAACAACAACAACAAGTAGTAGTAATAATTACAACAAATCGAAGCTGCATCTGCGCTTAAGCAGCCCCCACAGCCCCAATTGTTACAACAGCAGAAAACTAACAAAAATAATCAAACCTTAGACGCTGCCAAGGTTGACGTCGCTGCTGTGCCGCTGCCGCTACCGCTGCCATCGCCATTGCCATTGCCGTCGACGCTGACGCCGACGCCGCCGCCATTGCTGCCGCCTTAAACTTACACCCACGCCGAACGTCAAAACAGCGCGCAGAGGGAAATGAGATGAAGTGGTTTCAAGTGACCATAGATATGATTCTTGTGCTTTCATTTATATCCAGTAAGTACACCAAAATACAAGTATCTAACTATCTATTTGCATACTTACAAATGTGTCCATATAGAATAAGTATTATGTACAACTTCCATATCTACTATCGAGAGTGTCGGCCTATTTATCGCAGGCTACCAATTGATATTTCAAATATTATATATATTTATAATTCAAAATGGTGCATTACAAACATACAAATTTCCCTTCTCTATCTACGAGTATGGTATGGTATGGTATTTAGTTTTTTTTTTTTTTTAATATATTTTATCACATTTTAAACAAACATAGCAGCTTTTTTAAAGTGTCCAGCTTACCTTAAATTCAAGGACGTACGCAGGGGGGGCCGTTGCCCCCCCTAGAAGAAAATTTTCCATATAAAGTCGACCACACGTTCATTATTATGACGCACTATTTCGCCTTAAGATGGATCTGCGTTGGATTTGTTGAAGTTTTTTCATCGATCATATGCATAAATTATTTTTTAAATGCATCGGGCATTATTTAATCAAAATTTTAATTTTTTGAAATGAAATATAGAAATTTGTTTTAATCACTGCTTTTACCGTGTCTGAGTTCGATAAAATAGACAAAATGCGATTTTAGATTTTCTAGAATTCACTGCGCTAATCAAACGAATTTCAGATTCCATGAATGTGTAAACATTTTTCCATGTAACTGAATTTTATTTGAAAATGCTTCATGTTTTGTACAAATTGGAAAACTTAGCAGAACCGGTGTTGGACAAAGGCGATCAAGCACTCATTAATACATGTGTATACGAATATGTATGCATGTAATATATACACATTATAACAGCATTTCTGTCCTGTATATTGTATATAAAATATTTTGTGGTAAATAAATTGCTTACAGAAAGCTTCATTTTATTTATGCCGCAACCACTTAAAAGTTGCTCAATCAAAAGCCGCAATTGCCACGCGAGACAATCGCGTACAGACACACAGATTTATATACAGATAGATGTATATATATATATAGATATAGATAGATATATAGATATATAGAGATAGATATATAGATAGATATATATATAGATATATATATAGAGATATATATATATAGATATATATATATATATATATATATATATATATATATATATATATATATATATATATGTGTGTATATATACAAATACACATGCACATATTGCTGTTCACTCAATCAAACGAGGCACTCAAGTGGCCGCTCGTTGAGTAAGTCGCTTTAGGTTCCTAGCACAAAAGAAGGAGCAGCCAAAGTCACAGTCACAGCTACTGTCTCAGTCGCAGTCACTAGCTTCCCAGTTGGTCGGTCAACTATGTATGTGTGTGTGTTGCTATCTGGCTGTGCGACTCTTTATTGCCGCAGATTAATTTGGATTTCCGCAATTGGCGATGCCGTGCCAACAACATAAAAAAAAGACCGGACATACTCGTAGAGACAGACAGAGTGGGACAACAAAATGGTGCGGGGCGTGGCGCTGGAGAGAGGTGAAGAAAATGGACGTCGACACGGCACGGCAGATATACCAAAGCCAGACCAGGCTAGGCAGTCAGACGGACAGACAGACAGACAGACAGACAGACAATTGTATGCCATGTAGGCCGTGCAGAGGCGAAATTGAAAGTGCAAATGATACAAAAACGTGCTAGGCAAGCTTTTGTGGACGTTCGTGCCCACAATCCACACACACACACACACACACATATATATATATATATTTATAGGGCATGGCAATACTCGTAAAGGCCATCTCTTTCTCCACCCCATGTCCATCCCCAACCCCAACCCCAGCCCCACAACCACTCTTGACTTTTCATATCTATGCTGCGTAAATCTCTCGCTTGCGTTGCCACAGATAATGCAACAGACAACAACAATAACAACAGCAACAAGAATAATAGCAACAACAACAGCAGCAAAAGCAATGATGATGACAACGACGACGACGTCGAGGATGAAAGCGAGCCCCACACGGCTTAGCCCGAAAGCGGAATGGTTAGGGCTGTATAACAGATACCAGAGCTTTTGAAAAAGATAACGAAATTAAAAATAATACATACAGCAGACATCAGTTCAGATTATAAAGTATAGTATGGTATAGTTAGCTACACATACAGGTGTACTAAAAGTGTCGCAACCAACATTTAACTTATTATTATTTTCATCCAACACTATACAGCAGATGTAGGTTTTGCTTTTTACAGAGCTAGCCACCCCTTTCGTGATGTAAATTATGGATGATTTATGCGAGCTCTTGATGTTTCAAGGTGCATCATTAGAAAAATATGCTACTGAAGAACACACTACGAATCATAATTATATAGACCAGCTTGAAAATTTTATATTTTATGGAATACTAGCATACTCGCCGCGTCGTTAAAAATGTAGCTTTAGGACGCCTTCCGTACTCAACACAATTTGGATTTATCGGTTTTGAATGCATAATTGTATTTTGTATATAGAGTGAAAACTCTAAAGGGGATACTTAAATACTGTATACACCGATCGAATGTTTTAAAAAAGTGTCCGCCGAAGAGGGAGTCCGGATAAAAGAGATGTCCGTTAAGGGATTGTTTTCATGCTAATTGGTCTATTTGTCCGCTGTTAACTGCATTCAATATTTTCATATTGAAACAAAACAAAAATGTAAGGAAAATCGAAAAAATCATGGAAATTCATAGAGTAATTTATGGGAAAAACCAAAATGCTTAAAAAAAAATGAGAAAAATCGAAAAAAAGTTCTGTTTATCCAATCATTACGAAACTACACAGTATCAGCCATTGGACCATTTTAAAAATTGCCACAAAAAATTGTCTAAAATCTATTGTTTGTAGAAAATCTCGCTAGTTGTAGCTAACAAATTTAGTTTAAGATGAGTTAATATTTGAATAACATAGAATACTTTGCAATTAATTACTTCGTTTACTACAAATGATTTAAACTTTCCTTAGGACATGTTTCTATTTCATTTGATTTAACCGAATTCTTGGCTCAAATCACTAATGGTTTATGTACAGCCCACGAATATTCTTCTGTAACTAAGACTATATTCATATCTAATTATTAATTTAAATATATAATATATTGTCTGCAATAAACAAACCGTTTTGTTGTTGATTATAGTCTTCTGCAAATAAAAACACTTCTAACACTTTTTTTGAGTGTGTGTGCGTTTTTTTCTGGTTATCTCTTGTAAATGGTCTTAAACAGTCCAGGGTATTCAAAAATATATCTATATGATCTCTGTTTGAGTTGTAAGTAATAGATTGATATTTGATTGTTTATCTGCAAGTGTGTTTTTCAACAATGTCTTCGATGATTTAATATTTCTTTTCTGTTTTTATTTTCCTTGCTTCTTCGAAATTAGAGTACCTACATAGTTATACCTTGAACTGCTCCCCCCATCTCCTTATATAAGGTGATATAATAGTAGAAACGCAACCAATTTGCCTTCAAAACCTACACCTTTTCCATGTCGTACTTTTGTGTCCATTGGGCTTAAATATACATTCATTTTAGAAAATAGTGCCAGATGCAGTCCAATTTGCATTATTCTTTGGCCGTATTAATGCTAGAGGAGGTAGAACTGCAAGTGGTTTCAGGATTTTGAAAACTACCCTCAATGCTTTGCAACTCTTAAATACTCATTACAATTAAAGTGCAATAAATAATGAGTATAATATTAATGACAAAATAATAAAGAAAGCCACACCCTGACTAACCACACCATACAATACACAAAAAAGGTATCGGATCAGTGAAATCCCGTAAGCCCCAAAAAAGGTGCACAAAGCCAAAGACAAACAACTTTGCCAAATCATTAATATTCTTGACCAAAAGTTTCTGTGGGCGCTGCCTAAAGAAAATTTGTCATTTCCCTTGAATCCAAACTCAATTGCGGATTAGGAAAGTTTCCAAACAATGAAAATATACAAACGATGTGATGCATTTCGTAAAAACCCCATCAGAGTCAGACAAGTAAGAAACGGCAAATGATGAGTGATGCATAATTGAAGAGCAACATGAAAATGCAGTAATTGTAAAAGTATAAATAATTCAGCACAAATATCAAATAAAAAGTATCAAGTTTTGAAAAGGTACCGATACTATTAGAGAATTCCTCTACAAATTATAGAATATGTTAAACGAATATTACAAAGAACGAAAAAATTAACAATAGTATTTCATCAATAATAGAAAAAACCCACATTAATCATTTATGTTCATATATATAATGCATCATTACTCTAATTATAAGTAAAATAATGTTTTGCGTTGAAAAGCAAGTTAATTGCAATTTGATTATGAATTTTGTATTAAAAATACAACAGTTTTAACTTTAGTCGTTTACTAAACACTTTGAAACCGAAAACCTCTTTTTATTCACGAATTTTAATTCGAAAATATTGCTTGGAAAATATGTTGCACAAGTGTTATGAAAAAAGTGATGTGCCAAAGATTTAATCCATAAATGTGGAGTTCGATTTTAGTATTCAAACTGTATTGTAAGCAAAGAAACAAAGAGAAAAAAAGATATATTCTAATAATATTAATAATAATAATATCTAATAAAAATTACGTCGATTCCTTCGCTTTTAAAAAAAAGTTCATAAACTCAATCATTTTTGTATAAATAGACTAGTTAGCTATGTTTTCCATTTTTTATTTTATACAATTGTGCTTCGAACTCTTCTCCATTATTCTCAGTCGAATTGAAAGTACATTTAATTAAATGTGGCCCCGGTTTTCAGATGAGTAAAGTATTTCATGGTCTATTTTACATTCAAGTGCAATTATTTTGTGCGAAGCGGCATTATCGATACTCGCCTAAATCCATTGAGGGTAACTGCAAAATAAAAACATTCGATATTAATTTTAATTTTACGTTCGAATTCAGCCAACAAAAACAATTAAGGACTATTTCAGAATATTAGCAACCTAACGCGCACAAAGTGGAACTGTAAAAAATCATACCTCCAGTATAAAGATAAAAAAAAAA